TCTTGACTTGGTCTCGGGTTGGGTGGTCTTGAACACAACACTGGATTTTGGTTACAGAGAAAGTGATTATCACATTAAAATAACCCCTTCATATTAACCCTGAATGCTTTCATGTATTGCTTTGTCATTATTCAAAACTACTGCTAATCATTAAAATAAAGTAAATGGTGAACAAGCTTAATTTATATTGTGCACTAGAGCCACAATTACCCAAGCATACTCAAACATTGATCAGAGGCAACTTGAGGATAAGTGCCTGGAAGAGGGAATATTGATCTGCACCTCTGAGATTGTAAGATGGTTACTTCCATACTTTATGTTTTAATCAAAAGCTTTATGCTAGCTTAACAAACAAAGTTTACCGTCAAACACATATAAAACTGAAGATGACAAGGTAGCAGACTAGTTTTCTGTTTTTTTCACCTCCCTTGACCAGAAGATGTCATGGAGATGTTTGAAATGTAACGTTCTGTATTTTGTGATGTTCTTTTACACTTTAACTTTAGGTCCATCAAATCAAAGAACATGCCAGTCACACAGTGAGTGGTGTTCAATAAAACTGCAGGAGCGACAAATCATACATGGAAAGATTTCACTCACCAAAATTTAGAAAGACACTTTTAACCTACCCACAAAAGTCAAATTTCAAAAATACATATTTAATCCAAAAGGGAAGTTATATGTTGTTAGGACTCATATTATCAAAGTTTGTTGAAATAATTATTGTAGATGCTGATGGCTGTGAGCTGGAAGGATCTCCTGTAGCAGTCAGCATTACGGTTTTGACAGAAGAGGTTTGTTGTTGTATGGCGGTCTGATGAAGAAGATGTTCAGGGTTTTAGATAATGTTCTTCATTTTATGAAGAATTCTTCTCTTTACAGTCATCTGGAGAGGTTCCAGAGCAGAACCTCCACAAAATGGGAAACTACAAATATGAAAGAGAAAGGGATTCAACCGTTCTTCATGAAGGCAAACATTTGTACTTTTTTTTTTTTTTTTTCTGAGAAGACCAAGCTTGACATGAATTTCACTGTGTTCAATGTTCATAAATTGAAGATTGAACTCTTCAGGGAACACCATAAATGCGTGGAGCCAATCTACTGCTGAGGTACAATGTACCTTCCTGTACAGAACTCTGTGAATTGTTTTGTGATTCATCAGGAGCTTATGGCTGTTTTTTAAGCAGAAATGCGATTTTGAAATCTTGCTTCAGCTAGTCCATTTCCACTACCTGGTTTTTGTGACCACAAGCAATATGAATGTGAAACATTTGCCAAAAGCAATGAGGAATTATGTAAATTTTTTAAGAATCTTCACCAAACAAATAAAATACAAAGACTACCAGATGACAAAAACTCCTGGATGGAAATTACAACGTTATTGTCTATGGAGTAAGCTGTCTGCGGAAAGGTGGCACTGTCTAAAAAACTAAATATTGGATGGAGAGAAGAAGTAATTCCATTTAAGCATAGGTTAATATTTAAAATTTTATATTTGCAACACTTTAATGTCTCATTTTGTCATTCTGTCTGGTGAACCAGACCAGCGTAGATCACGAGGATCCTTTGCACATCAATAGACTAAAGCAGAAATCCTTCTGAATAATCACTTTGAATGAAACAGAAATTTATTTCAAATGATCTACTTGGAAAAAAGGAAATGTAGAAATCTTACTGTAGAGTGGTCATCTCAGTAAGTGACGGCTGTGTAGCTTTAAGGTAGCTGGCGCGACGTGCCTGCATCTTCGGTGAAGGTTTGGGACTTCCATCAGAGTCTCCGCTGTCATCCTCAGCCATGGCTTTCACATAGCTGCCACTCCTCATCCTTCGACAGGGAATGTCATCCTCCTTCCCCAGAGGAGAAAAACCACTCCACTCATCTTGAGGTACCTGATAGCAAGAAAATACATAAGTGTTGTCAGGAAGATGTTTTCCTCTGCTCTCTGACTTCCAGTCACCAAACTGGCACACTAAGCTGTCCATGTTGTACACTGAAAGACAACCAAGGACTTAGTATCAAAGGCAAAAAAAAATATATAAAAAATAAGAGAATAATCCAGCATCCAAAAAACCCTGAACTAATCACATTTTCCTCCATTCTGGATTTTCTCACAGACATGGCTTGACAGATTGTCTGCACCACAGTGAAATTGCTGGCTAATTAGCATAGAACAGTATGTGCAGAGGTCATTTGGAAATTTCTCTCTGGCTAATTCAAACATCTGCTTCACTGAAGTTAATTTGGTTGTCTAAGAAAGTATTTTAATGTGTGGTGTATGTATTTGAACTCAAAAGTGTACTATAATTCTTCTCTGATTTAGCTTTGCATATTGTTGAGAAGATCAAAATCTTTCATTATATCTTTATTATTGTTGTAGTACTTCCCCCCAAAAGATATAATTGTTTTTTTCTTTTATGTTGTATATGAATGAAGACTAAACCTTATTCTAATGAATTACAGAAAATGGGTTTGATTCATTGACAGAAAGGCTGAACAGATCTGTTGAGCTAAATATCTCTCTCTCTCTGTGCATGTGTGTGACGTCAAAGAGACACAAATGAGCAGTTTGGCTATAAAAAGAGAAAGGACCAGCTGCAGTATTATCAGCAGTGCCTCTCACCCACGCACTGGCTTTACATCCACAGTAGCTTGACACCCAGTCTACTGTATTGCTGAGAAACAGGGCTGCTGTTAGTAACTCTCTACTGCTACATGTGAGATTCTGGTCATCTTTTCCATGAAGAATTATCTGCATTTCTATAAATAATTACTTGAACACAGGATGTTACCACTGAGTTGGTGTGTAGTTCTAACCATCAGCTGAGTGATATAAGCCACAGAATGTTGACGTTACCTTGGCAACCCTGTTTTTATGGTCTAAAGTAGCAGCATTTAAAGTAAATGAAGGTGAAGCTGGGAGCTCCGCAGCTGACATGCAGAAGAGAATTTGTAGACAACATAATAAATAACATGGGAGAGCAGTAAAGTGTGTTAAGCCTGCAGGTACAAATAACTGAAATTATGTTGACTATAACGGAGTTCCAAGTAAGTCAAGAAAACCAAACTGCACTATGATCACCCCAGTTATAATAGAATATACGCATTAAAATGTAATGACAGCTAGATGTCCTGCACTATGGTTCTGTCAGTATCCCTATTCTGCCCTGTTCTGTGAGGGCAGAAGAGAAAGTTCTCACTGTTCTTTCAGCCACTCCTCTAAACTCTCATTTTAGTTTCTTGATGCCTCACTTAATGTAAGTCTCAAACAATAGTCTATATTGCTATAATGATGGGCAATAAAACAAGAGAGTCAAACACATGGAAAAGTTAAACTTACAGTGATTCTTGAAGACAGTAGTAAGAAAAAGTGTTTGCCCCCTTAAGAATTTCTTTTGTTGTTGTTTTGTCCTAATTTAATGTTTCAGATCATAACACAAATGTTAGTATTGGATAAGTATAACACGAATACTTTCAAAAAGTAGTATGTGAAAAAGTAATTGCCCCCTAAACTTATTATACAGCTGGTTCTGACACCCTTAGGATCAACAACTGATAGTGAATAACTGATAAGTTTTCTAAGTCATTTCTGAATGATGACAGATGTTTTAATGGTTAATGTTTTAATTCAGCCATGTTGAATGATTTCTATTATTAATGTGTTTAAAACCCTCTTATGACCAACCTGT